GAAAATGTGTCCGTCACGCGGCCACAATTGTGTCTCCATTCAACCGATCTCTAGTGGGAAGATCCTTGAGGGGCCTCGGTTTGGCCATGTGGGGGGTCTGGTGACCTTCTGAACCCCATCGGCCTGCAGACTCTCCGTGTCCTGACCTACAGCCGACGGAATTGGTGACGTCCATTGCTTATCGATCTTCCAGAACCGATCACACCGATCAGATCTCCTCAGCAGATCATCGGGCGCAGGATACAGATCTTCCATTGGAAGTCAGGAGACGTCTCTGACCTCGCCGGTCTACCAGGAGGAAGCCTCGGCAATGACCGGGCGGCGACATGTGACCAGAATCGGGTGTCACATAAAGGACAAAGAACGTTGCCGTGCCGATCATTGTCAATGTATCTGAGAACGTTGCCGTGCCGATCATTGTCAATGTATCTGAGAACGTTGCCGTGCCGATCATTGTCAATGTATCTGAGAACGTTGCCGTGCCGATCATTGTCAATGTATCTGAGAACGTTGCCGTGCCGATCATTGTCAATGTATCTGAGAACGTTGCCGTGCCGATCATTGTCAATGTATCTGAGAACGTTGCCGTGCCGATCATTGTCAATGTATCTGAGAACGTTGCCGTGCCGATCATTGTCAATGTATCTGAGAACGTTGCCGTGCCGATCATTGTCAATGTATCTGAGAACGTTGCCGTGCCGATCATTGTCAATGTATCTGAGAACGTTGCCGTGCCGATCATTGTCAATGTATCTGAGAACGTTGCCGTGCCGATCATTGTCAATGTATCTGAGAACGTTGCCGTGCCGATCATTGTCAATGTATCTGAGAACGTTGCCGTGCCGATCATTGTCAATGTATCTGAGAACGTTGCCGTGCCGATCATTGTCAATGTATCTGAGAACGTTGCCGTGCCGATCATTGTCAATGTATCTGAGAACGTTGCCGTGCCGATCATTGTCAATGTATCTGAGAACGTTGCCGTGCCGATCATTGTCAATGTATCTGAGAACGTTGCCGTGCCGATCATTGTCAATGTATCTGAGAACGTTGCCGTGCCGATCATTGTCAATGTATCTGAGAACGTTGCCGTGCCGATCATTGTCAATGTATCTGAGAACGTTGCCGTGCCGATCATTGTCAATGTATCTGAGAACGTTGCCGTGCCGATCATTGTCAATGTATCTGAGAACGTTGCCGTGCCGATCATTGTCAATGTATCTGAGAACGTTGCCGTGCCGATCATTGTCAATGTATCTGTTTATCGATCAATTTCCAATCATTTGTTGGGTTTTCATGGAACATTTTCACGCTTTTTGCTCTGAGATTAAACGACGAGGTTCCGTCCTCATTCGGGACCTAAACTGCGATATTTTGGCTTTTCTCTTGTGACCTGCAGTAGGATCGTCCCCGGAGAGATTCCAGCAGTGATCGGCAGGCATGGACGGCCTCCATATCCTGGTGGAAACGTCTCGGAGATATTGGAAAGCTGGTCGTGTTCTTCGTGGGCAGCCGGAGGTGACAACATCTTCTGAGGGCCACCAAGAGCGGGACTTTGAAGATCTTCCTTCCCAGGTGATGGTCGGTCTCTCTGGACATAATGAGAATCTCCGGCCGGACTGTCCCATTCACAGAGGAATCAGCGGGGGGACCTCGTGTATCCGCCCTGCAGGCCAAACAACAACTTTCCAATCACCGCAGAGCTGCCACCGGCGTCCCTCGTCCACCGCGGCAGATGTCTCCGTCATGTGGACTCCGTGCCTGACCCGAACGATGGCAAAACATTGCGCAATAAAACCACTTTAAGATGAATTTACGAAGAATCTCCATTGTGGGGAATCAACGTGATGTCTACACTTCCATGTGGCACCATTGTTCTCCCGTACTTTGTCATCATCCTCAGACTCCTCCCCCCCCCCAACCAACCAACCAGAACCTTCATCACAATACGGAAGAGTGAACACATCTGGGAGGCCGATCATTTCCCGGAATCTGCCGCCCGGTGTTTTCTGGGAACAACCGGAAATTGGAGGAAGAACGGAATCTCTGATATATTATTAGAGACCCCCGAAGACCCCGCAGCCAGATGATTGGGGATGAAGGAGACGCCACGTCGGCTGATCCCCCCCCGATGGCCGGTGCTACGTGGTCTGTCCACCTTCATCCCTCACTACAGATCGGACCTGTTATTGGCCCAGCAGTGGGGGGTTGGGCAGGAAGGTCCTCCAAGCCGTGGTCCCACCATAGGATGAGGAGGTTCCTCGTGTCTCCTCCCAGGTGCTGGAAGACAATTTGGAAGATCTAACTTGGACTAGGCCGAGGAGCTCGTCTATGATGGAGAGGGGGAGGAGCTTCATGGGAGGATCATAGGAGGAGCTCTGCTGCTGTCTTGGGACTCCGGGAAACCAACTTACCATCAAGTCCAACTCAGATTGTGAGAGTGTCATCGTTCAGATCCGTCCCTTCACCGAGTCTGTTATTTACCATCTGCCAGACCTGACCCGCGTGTCCCCATCTGCCAGACCTGACCCGCGTGTCCCCGTCTGTCCGCTCTGACCCGCGTGTCCCCTTCTGTCAGATCTCATCATGGTGGCCTCATAGAGCCCGGGGCTGTTGTGGTGTCGGGAGGGAATTTTGCTGGCACAGGGAAAGTTCTGGTTGGCCGATGATGAGGGTCAGTCTGGGAATTGTGCTGACGGTTGGCAGTCGGTGAGGTAATGTCTCTGGGTGTAATCCCCTCCCCCCCTATTGCTGAGTGGGGTATATAAGGGGGAGGGGTGATGAGTGCGGGTCAGCGTCTGTCTTCACCTCTCAGTCATGGACATCACCATCCAGCACCCCTTGTACAAGCGTGCCCTGGGGCCCTTCCACCCCAACCGAATCTTCGACCAGATCTTCGGAGAAGGATTCCTCGACTTTGACCTCTTCCCTTTCTTGTCTTCCACCGTCAGCCCCTTCTACAGGCACAGCCTATTCCGAGGATTCCTGGACTCCGGCATCTCTGAGGTGAGGAGCAGATAGGGCCACTCACACAGGGGCCACTCATACAATGGTCTCCATCCTGCGGTCAGTAGGGGGTCTGGGAGGGTCACTCATACAATGGTCTCCACCCTGTGGTCAGTAGGGGGTCTGGGAGGGTCACTCATACAATGGTCTCCACCCTGTGGTCAGTGGGATCTGGGAGGGTCACTCATACAATGGTCTCCACCATGTGGTCTGGGGGGGTCAACCATATAATGGTCTCCACCATGTGGTCAGAGGGGTCTGGGATGGTCACTCACACAATGGTCTCCACCCTGTGGTCAGAGGGGTCTGGGAGGGTCACCCATACAATGGTCTCCATCCTGTGGTCAGAGGGGTCTGGTAGGGTCAACCATACAATGGTCTCCACCTTGTGGTCAGTGGGGTCTGGGAGGGTCACTCTTACAATGATTTTGATCCTGTGGGGTCTGGGAGGGTCACTCATACAATGGTCTCCACCCTGTGGTCAGTAGGGGTCTGGTAGGGTCAACCATACAATGGTCTCCACCTTGTGGTCAGTAGGGGTCTGGGAGGGTCACTCTTACAATGGTTTTGATCCTGTGGTCAGTGGGGTCTGGGAGGGTCACTCATACAATGGTCTCCACCCTGTGGTCAGTAGGGTCAGTCATACAATGGTTTCCATCCTGTGGTCAGCGGGGTCTGGGAGGGTCACTCATACAATGGTCTCCATCCTGGGGTCTGGGAGGGTCACTCATACAATGGTCTCCACCCTGTGGTCAGTAGGGGGTCTGGGAGGGTCACTCATACAATGGTCTCCACCCTGTGGTCAGTAGGGGTCTGGGAGGGTCACTCATACAATGGTTTCCATCCTGTGGTCAGCGGGGTCTGGGAGGGTCACTCATACAATGGCCTCCACCCTGTGGTCAGTAGGGGGTCTAGGAAGGTCACTCATACAATGGTCTCCACCCTGTGGTCTGGGAGGGTCACTGATACAATGGTCTCCATCCTGTGGTCAGAGGGGTCTGGGAGGGTCACTCATACAATCGTCTCCATCCTGTGGTCAGAGGGGTCTGGGAGGATTACTCATACAATGGTCTCCACCCTGTGGTCAGTAGAGGTCTGGGAGGGTCACTCATACAATGGTCTCCACCCTGTGGTCAGAGGGGTCTGGGAGGGTCACCCATACAATTGTCTCCACCCTGTGGTCAGTATTGGGTCTAGGAAGGTCACTCATACAATGGTCTCCACCCTGTGGTCTGGGAGGGTCACTGATACAATGGTCTCCATCCTGTGGTCAGTGGGGTCTGGGAGGGACACTCATACAATGGTCTCCACCCTGTGGTCAGAGGGGTCTGGGAGGGTCACTCATACAATGGTCTCCACCCTGTGGTCAGTAGAGGTCTGGGAGGGTCACTCATACAATGGTCTCCACCCTGTGGTCAGAGGGGTCTGGGAGGGTCACCCATACAATTGTCTCCACCCTGTGGTCAGTATTGGGTCTAGGAAGGTCACTCATACAATGGTCTCCACCCTGTGGTCTGGGAGGGTCACTCATACAATGGTCTCCATCCTGTGGTCAGTGGGGTCTGGGAGGGACACTCATACAATGGTCTCCACCCTGTGGTCAGAGGGGTCTGGGAGGGACACTCATACAATCGTCTCCATCCTGTGGTCAGAGGGGTCTGGGAGGATTACTCATACAATGGTCTCCACCCTGTGGTCAGTAGAGGTCTGGGAGGGTCACTCATACAATGGTCTCCACCCTGTGGTCAGAGGGGTCTGGGAGGGTCACCCATACAATTGTCTCCACCCTGTGGTCAGTATTGGGTCTAGGAAGGTCACTCATACAATGGTCTCCACCCTGTGGTCTGGGAGGGTCACTCATACAATGGTCTCCATCCTGTGGTCAGTGGGGTCTGGGAGGGACACTCATACAATGGTCTCCACCCTGTGGTCAGAGGGGTCTGGGAGGGTCACTCATACAATGGTCTCCACCCTATGTCATCGTTCAGATCCGTCCCTTCACCGAGTCTGTTATTTACCATCTGCCAGACCTGACCCGCGTGTCCCCATCTGCCAGACCTGACCCGCGTGTCCCCGTCTGTCCGCTCTGACCCGCGTGTCCCCTTCTGTCAGATCTCATCATGGTGGCCTCATAGAGCCCGGGGCTGTTGTGGTGTCGGGAGGGAATTTTGCTGGCACAGGGAAAGTTCTGGTTGGCCGATGATGAGGGTCAGTCTGGGAATTGTGCTGACGGTTGGCAGTCGGTGAGGTAATGTCTCTGGGTGTAATCCCCTCCCCCCCTATTGCTGAGTGGGGTATATAAGGGGGAGGGGTGATGAGTGCGGGTCAGCGTCTGTCTTCACCTCTCAGTCATGGACATCACCATCCAGCACCCCTTGTACAAGCGTGCCCTGGGGCCCTTCCACCCCAACCGAATCTTCGACCAGATCTTCGGAGAAGGATTCCTCGACTTTGACCTCTTCCCTTTCTTGTCTTCCACCGTCAGCCCCTTCTACAGGCACAGCCTATTCCGAGGATTCCTGGACTCCGGCATCTCTGAGGTGAGGAGCAGATAGGGCCACTCACACAGGGGCCACTCATACAATGGTCTCCATCCTGCGGTCAGTAGGGGGTCTGGGAGGGTCACTCATACAATGGTCTCCACCCTGTGGTCAGTAGGGGGTCTGGGAGGGTCACTCATACAATGGTCTCCACCCTGTGGTCAGTGGGATCTGGGAGGGTCACTCATACAATGGTCTCCACCATGTGGTCTGGGGGGGTCAACCATATAATGGTCTCCACCATGTGGTCAGAGGGGTCTGGGATGGTCACTCACACAATGGTCTCCACCCTGTGGTCAGAGGGGTCTGGGAGGGTCACCCATACAATGGTCTCCATCCTGTGGTCAGAGGGGTCTGGTAGGGTCAACCATACAATGGTCTCCACCTTGTGGTCAGTGGGGTCTGGGAGGGTCACTCTTACAATGATTTTGATCCTGTGGGGTCTGGGAGGGTCACTCATACAATGGTCTCCACCCTGTGGTCAGTAGGGGTCTGGTAGGGTCAACCATACAATGGTCTCCACCTTGTGGTCAGTAGGGGTCTGGGAGGGTCACTCTTACAATGGTTTTGATCCTGTGGTCAGTGGGGTCTGGGAGGGTCACTCATACAATGGTCTCCACCCTGTGGTCAGTAGGGTCAGTCATACAATGGTTTCCATCCTGTGGTCAGCGGGGTCTGGGAGGGTCACTCATACAATGGTCTCCATCCTGGGGTCTGGGAGGGTCACTCATACAATGGTCTCCACCCTGTGGTCAGTAGGGGTCTGGGAGGGTCACTCATACAATGGTTTCCATCCTGTGGTCAGCGGGGTCTGGGAGGGTCACTCATACAATGGTCTCCATCCTGGGGTCTGGGAGGGTCACTCATACAATGGTCTCCACCCTGTGGTCAGTAGGGGGTCTGGGAGGGTCACTCATACAATGGTCTCCACCCTGTGGTCAGTAGGGGTCTGGGAGGGTCACTCATACAATGGTTTCCATCCTGTGGTCAGCGGGGTCTGGGAGGGTCACTCATACAATGGCCTCCACCCTGTGGTCAGTAGGGGGTCTAGGAAGGTCACTCATACAATGGTCTCCACCCTGTGGTCTGGGAGGGTCACTGATACAATGGTCTCCATCCTGTGGTCAGAGGGGTCTGGGAGGGTCACTCATACAATCGTCTCCATCCTGTGGTCAGAGGGGTCTGGGAGGATTACTCATACAATGGTCTCCACCCTGTGGTCAGTAGAGGTCTGGGAGGGTCACTCATACAATGGTCTCCACCCTGTGGTCAGAGGGGTCTGGGAGGGTCACCCATACAATTGTCTCCACCCTGTGGTCAGTATTGGGTCTAGGAAGGTCACTCATACAATGCTCTCCACCCTGTGGTCTGGGAGGGTCACTCATACAATGGTCTCCATCCTGTGGTCAGTGGGGTCTGGGAGGGTCACTCATACAATGGTCTCCACCCTGTGGTCACTGGGATGGTTCTGGGTCATGGACCGTTGGGACCATCGTAGGTTGCACACAGACATGTGGGAGGACTGTACGTATGGACCTAGTAGAGGAGCTCGCTGTAGCTGGGTGCTTCATGACCTCCATATTGGGTTGCCATTCTCTAACTGATCCTCTGGTTTGTGTTGACAGCCTTATATCTTCTTTCAGGTGGTTGGGAGTCTCCAGGGTAGCGGGGATCATGTATATAACACATTGTGCTCATGTACATGTAGTGACTGCCCTTCCCCCCCTCGTAGGTGCGCTCAGACCGGGATCGTTTCACCATTAGCTTGGACGTGAAGCATTTCTCTCCCGAGGATCTGACTGTGAAGATTGTGGATGACTATGTGGAGATCCACGGGAAGCACAACGAGAGGCAGGTACGTCGGGTGACATCATCACCAATGCAGGTCAGAGGTCACTGACATCACAGTTGTAGTGAATAGAGGGCCACACCCGGCCTCCATGCTGTGTGAATGTGTGTCACCTCTATGGTGGAAGGACGGGACCTCTATGGTGGAAGGATGGGACGGGACCTCTATGGTGGAAGGACAGGACGGGACCTCTATGGTGGAAGGACAGGACGGGACCTCTATGGTGGAAGGGCGGGGCACAAGGGAATGGATGACCTCCATGTAGGGTGCAGAGGTGTCAATCCAACGTACAATGACTCGGGTTCATTCACCGATATCATCCGAGGACGGACATGAGGCCGGCTAGGTGGAGGTCTAGATCCTGGGGCGGGGGTGGGGAATAGGACAATTTGTCTTCTTCACACCTTCCATGATGTCTCCATCAGAGCGGCCCTCACACAAGACTTGGTAGATCTACAGACAATTGTACAATCAGATTGTATGTAGAATGTACAGCATTTCCTTC